ACACCAAACCCTTATGCCAAATGTGTTTGCCCTCAATTATATATATATATATATATATATATTCTCATAAAATACAGACACACACATATGGATATACATTCTCATGATGTGTGTGTGGAGTGCCCCGTAAAATTTGCTAAAAGAAAAACACCCAATTAAGAAAGGTCTCTCTTTACAAAAACCACTATGTCATTACACAGACATGGGTTGAGTTAGAACTTTTTATAGCGTTCGCAATTTACATATATGAACATGTCAATGGAGTTGACCTTGTCAACCCAACCCAACCTTGCATCAAAACAAAACGAGAATTCCAATTTCTCATTCCCCATAATCTACATTCTGCCCTCCAATCAAAGAACTAAAAAATGAATTAGTAAAAGAAATTAAACATATCTTCACCAGCTTTTCTGATGACCATGTTGTCTGGGAGATCTGTAGTAGTTCGGATCATGATCATCTTTGCCGGAATTAGTAATATTTTTAACAGGAGAAGACGACTGCAGTCCGCCGCCGATCACCTTCTTCTTCTTCTTCGTTGATTTTGATTTTGACCTCTGATTAGATGAAAACCCCTTTATCATAGGCACGATATACCACCAAAAACAAGTACACAACACTGCAAATGATCGGCCGAAAAGAGCGAGAAAAAACAATATCAAGATCAACGCCGCCGGCATATGATTCCCCAGCCACCGCCATTGATGACTCCTCATGATTGATCTCCACGTCACCCATCTTTCATTTTCAATCGACTTTTTCTCAGATTCTGAATCTGGGTTTTTCTCGCCATGAACCTCCTCCAAGCCTTCTGAATAAATATTCTTCTTCTTCTTCTTCTCATTGTCTTTAACATCGTCGTCTTCAACCATGGTTTTGTCAGTAAATATTTCCTTTTCCTTCTTCTTGACTCTGATCACCATTGGGACACACTCGTTGGAATTGGAATACACGAAACGGACGAAAGAGATGTCGTCTGAGTCAGCCTGCGAGTAAATTTTCTGCTTCTTCTGTTCGAGCTCGGTGAGAAGTGCAGAGAACTTGTCTAGTCCTCGCATGGCGTATGGGTTATTCTTCTTGTGTCTCTTGCTGCAGAAGTTGTTTTTTGTTCTTGATTTTCTCGGTGTTGAACCAGGACTGCTCCATGACTGATGATCATGTTCATCGTCTTGATGATCTTCCGGGAGATTGGAAACGCCACAGATTAAATTACTAAACATTTTGGGAAACTGGGTTCGCTTTCTTTTGGGTTCAAATTGTGGTTTATATGGACTATACATATATATTTTTTAGTTTTTTTAAATTGTATATATAGTAGCCTATAAAAAAAAAATAATGTATATATAGTGAAGGTAATTTGACCAAATCCTGGTCAAATGAGAGGTATGGTTCAAGAGAAATGAACAGAAGTTTCCGTGTATATATATATATGTATATGCCATTCTTAATTTCTTGGGGAGGGGTTAAATCCAATAATGTTATAATTAAGTGGGAGAAGGGAGACTTCAAATGGTATTTATAATATCATATAGATTTTTATATTACAATTTGCTCAACATCATTCCCTTATCAGTAATACATCACACATATGTGATACATTATAATATACATATATCATATATGTATGAATATTAGTATTTACAATTAACTAGTAATCATATATAATAATATTTATAGAGGATTAATTTGGAATTTGACTTGGTGAAAAAAATGGATTAGTATGAGATTTTTCACAGCATGCTGATGGAGATTTATCAACATTCAATTTCATAACATATAGCCGTAGGAGAATCTAACATCATTTAGTGCCATAATTGATTAAGTACCATATTTAATTTAAGTACTTCCAAGGCTAATCTTTCCCCGGATTCCTTTGTGATCCTCGCCAATTATATAATTAAGGTACTCATTGATTTTGTTTTGATTTGTATGATATGATTGTCTTCACGCATCATGAATAATATATTATATAACTTTGTATATAATCTTAAATTTTTCAACAATTAATTAATTTTTTTTAATTATTCTTAACATAATATTAAAACTAGATTAAATTAAACTTTTCAACTCAAGTCAGATTATATAAAATCATGTTTATACCCAAATTGATTCAGACGGTCAAGAAATCAAACTAAGTATGGCATAATCGATGAGTCGGAGTTTTGTCGAATCAATTAAATTACTAAACGTTATTTTTATCATACCTAATTACACCATCGAAATCACATTATTTTTCATTATAATTGGTGGATGAAATTGAGCTAATTTGATCTTATTTTTTAGTTTCTGATTAATTCGTTATAATTTTTTTAGCACTTATAGTTAAATTTTAAAGATAATCAATCACAATTAATAATTCTAAATTATGCGAGAAAATTTAAATTGATTTAACATTTTAGATCATGTTCAAAATAAATATAGATTTTGTTTCATATTCATTTATAAATTCACTTACTTTCACTAAAAGACGTACGAAATTTTAAAATGATATACATTAAATTATATAGTATATCACGTAGAATTAGAATAATATATCTTAAATTTACTAATTTTAAAATTCTCATATACTCAATTTTATTATCCGCACAATATAACTTATATATATATATATATATATTTTCTAATTAAACTAATTAGTATAAATTTATAAGTATGGTTACATTGAATTCATTTCCAATTTAACTTAAATGTAACCCTTTCACGTTGACCATGCTTAATGTAATGGTGAATGAACAGATTTCTTTTTTTTTTATGAACATTGTTAAAGTTCAAGTCAAGTCTCTTTTGTTTCCTCAACTCTTTTTTTTTTTTCCAATAAATATATATATATATAAGTTGATGAAAAAAGGAGACTAATTAAGTACTTGGTATCACAAAATTGGACAATACCTTTTTTCTTAATATCTATCTCTTCTGCATTTTTTTAAATAATGTCCAGACCATGAATCGGTCAATGAAGAAGGTAGCA